AACATACCCATCTCCTTCAACCGTTTCCTCATCAGGCTTGGTTTTCCAGACTCTTGATCGTCTTGCTTTCCCTCCTCTGCACACGTTCCAGCTTGTCAATATCTACGGTTGCCCTCGTATTTACACTTACTTTGCTTTTGAATTATCGTACTGGAGGAGACTCTTGAGAGTCCCATGGACTGCAAGATCAAACTATCCATTCTGAAGGAAATCAGCCCTGAGTGCTTACTGGAAGGACAGATCCTGAAGCTGAGGCTCCAATACTTTGGCCGCCTCATGAGAAGAGAAGACTCCCTGGAAAAGACCCTGGTGTTGGGAAAGATTGAGGGCACAAGGAGAAAGGGATGACAGAGGACGAGATGGTTGGACAGTGTTCTCGAAGCTACCAGCATGAGTTTGACCAAACTGCGGGAGGCAGTGGATGACAGGAGTGCCTGGCCCATGGGGTCACAAAGAGTCGGACATGACTAAACGACTAAACAACAACAACAATACACTTACTTGGAAGTAGGTGTCACTGAGCAATGCATCAGCAAGTGGTTAAAGACGCCGCTTCCACACCGTGGTCCGGATCAGTCTTCCTCCACACACACACGCTGTAGCTGTTACACACACACATAATCTGTGTAACCCCAAACTACGTGGCAAAAGTCACCTCTAGTTTAGCCCCAAATGAGACTTCCTTTTGACTCGGCATATTCATCTAAGTTAGGAGACATCTGAAACCCTTACAAGATTACCATGATGGGGAAATCCTGAGACTCTTGCAACTTTGAGAAGCTTATTTTCTGGTGAGAAATCCAGATGACTCACCCGGTCGTGAAATGTCCTTTAACGTCTCATGCACCACCAGTTTGTAACATCCTTTCGGCTAAGGGTTTGAGCAAGAGAATGCCCAGTTTGAATCGGCCCTCTTCATTATGAACTCATTAGGTGGACTTGGCCAAGCCACTCACCACTTCCTCCAGACCTGAACCCTCCCCCCTCTTCGCCTCGCTGCAAAATGGAAATAAGAAATAGAATCTGCAACAAAATGTTGCAGCGTGGAGTGCTCCTATGCAGGATACTCCATTCCATTCCTGGTTTCCGATTTCACACACTTACACATCAGTGAGCATGCCATGTCCACCAAGCGTGCACAGTCCTCGTTGAACTATTTTTCTCTTTCCCGTAAGCATGCCAAGAACGAACTTTGCTTCCACAAACCTGATGTACACTGAGAGCACCAATTTTGGCTACAGGGAGAACTGGTACTTAGAGAACTGAGATCAAGACTGGCATATATGATGACACTGAAGATGCTTCTGGTCTTCCTTGCAGAGTTGGTGTAGAGGTTTCTATGGTAATGTACGTGGAACACATTTGAAAGTTGCCAGCAGCGGTCCCCTAGAATAATCAAGTTATACTGATATTATTACCGCCATTCTGCAGTTGGCGGTCACTTCCAGACAGCCTGTTAATGAGAATTCAGCCTGATGTGTTTGCAGAGAGTGTTGATGACATTGGGTATTTAATGAGCATTTATCCTGATCTCTTAGTGGGAAGATTTTATTATACATTTATTATTTATTTCATAAAATTCATACGCCACTTGGTTGTGGGGGTGGGGACAACCTCAGAGCAATTTACAAAGAGAATAAAACAATACAATTATCAGTAAAAACAGTATTAAAAAACCATGACTCTTCAAAACATTCCAAAGGTGAAATCAGCAATAAAGAAGAAACCCGAAGCAATGTACACCTGTAGGAATGGTTTTTACCGTTTTTAGAATTTGTAGGAATTGTTTCATCGTCTTTAGAGATCCAGGCCTGTTGCTGCCTCTCAAATTTGAAGCAGATAATGAGAATTCGCTCTGATGATGATTGCCATTTAAAGGAATTTGCATGCCCAGGCCAATGGAGTGGCAGGCAAAGGAGCTGAAATTCTGTGCTCTCAGTTATGCAAATGTTCCTTATCTTCTCATTGGTCAGGATCTTTGAAATGAGACATCAGCTTCCCACTTCCCTTCAGCCTGGCCTAAAAAAGTGACTCTCCAGATGTATCGTTTGAGGCCTCTCTGTATTAACTACCGTGTTGTTTTGTGATTTAGTTGCTTGCTTCTCCTCCTTCTCTACTCCTTATTTTTCCCAGCTGCTCTCCTCCCTTGTTTGAACTTAATTTCATCAGACCTTTGGGTGAGCAGCCACTTCTCCTTTCCCTTTCCTTTCCTATCTGGCAAGGTGGATCTGCTCCTCTCGTCTTCTAAAGAGCAAAAGAATGACCCTAAATCAGGGGTGCCCAAACTTTTTTCTTTTTTTCCCTTTTTTCCCAAAAAAAATTAAAATTAATTTTTATTAAGTACAAATTAGAAAACATGCATATTTGCAACAAAAGAAAATACAAAGGAAAAAGAAAATACATATAACCGAGGAAAAAAATTAGAGAATACTTTGCCTCTTCATATTTACAGTTATTTATACCTCTATAAAATGCTATTCACAATAAAGGAGTGAAATGAAAGATAAGATATCAGAAAAAAGAAAAAAAAGAACAAAGAAAAAATAAAGAAGTAAAAGAAAAGGATCATAGGTAAACAAATTTAAAAGAAGATAAGTATTCACTATACATAGCCGTAAATATAAATATAGATGGGAAACGGCCCAAACTTTTTTCAAAGAGTGCCAGATTTGATGACATGAACATGCATGAGGGCTGACCAAAGTTGTTCAGCTTTTTTTTAGGATAGAAGTTGTTCAGCTTTTTTTAGAGTTTTACCCCAGGACATATACTGCCACGGGGGCCGGATTAATTAAATCAACCAGCGGGCCGGATTAGGACCCCGAAACGGACTTTGGATATGCCTGCCCTAAATGATCTGGAGTTGAGGTGAGGAACCAGTTGCCATGGGGCAGCCCTACCACCAGATGAGGAGCAGAGAGACATGATTGTCTGGGGTGGGAAAGTGGGGCAGCTCCCCATTCCCCCATGTGTGTTTTTCCCTATTTCTTTGTGAAAAATTGGGAGAGGGTTTTTGTTATGTACTGAAGTTCTCACCCTGGGCCAGCAGGGAGGATACTGTAGAGAGTTTTCACTCAGGTCCACATATGCAAATAAGGGATTGAAAGTGACGTTCAGTGATTGGATAGTTACAGAAAATGGTTACTGTTGCGTTCTAGTGGAGCTCTATATAAGCAGGCTGGCTGAACCCTTCAGTTCAGTTCTGTTCTGGCCTGTGAATAAGCAAGAGCTATTTGAAGAATCGCTGCGTCGTCTGATATGTTCACCCACAACTTAACAGTTTTGGAAAATTTGGGAGAAAGCTCCCTGTCTTTCTTCCCAGTTTTCCCCCAGGCCTTCACATCCTCAGTCAGGGGGAGCCAGCCCTCCATATGTCTTGGCTAAGACCTCCCACCATCCCATGTAAGCTGGCACTGATGGGAGTTGTAGTCCACAACATCTGGAGTGAAACCGCTGGAGTGAACATCTGGAGTGAAACCGCTGCCTCGGGCAGCAGATTTTTGGTGTTGTGAAAGGGCAGCAATATGTAAGTTATTTTATTTGTTTGCTATTATTACAACTTTTGGGTAGGTGGCCAATGGCCAATGGCACCAAATTAACCAGGGTTGGTTACAAACGAAAAGGGATTATTGCAAAGAGCTCCGAAAGGACCTTTGGAAACACGGCAAATGAGCATTAAACCGGCCAGTGTGCTTCGATGTAAGTTTGTGTGAAAGTGATGCCTATCAGGGCAAAAGATGTACTGATGCAACCTTTTGGTGCATCTACTGTAGCTTGGCACTCTCCACAAATGCACTGCAAAATTTACTTGCTTCTTTAAAAAGCATTTCTAACCCACTTGATATTTAGAAACCTCGGAGTGGAATACAAAAACACAGCATGAAAACAGTAAAACAGTATTCTAAAAACAAATGACGGGCCAATCTTATCGGTCAAGGAAAGACTAGGCAAAAATGTGTGCCATTACAGGGTGACTTGAATTGATGGGCAGTGCATCATGTTGAGTAGAAGGAAGGATAACAGTAGCATTGGCAGAAAATGTTTGTTTTGGGTTCGCCACCCTATGACATTTTATATGGTGCCACGAGGAAAATTTTCCTGCTATATTACATAGGTCCAAACATATCCCTGTGGGATAGCTCAGTTGGCAATGTATGAGACTCTTAATCTCCAGGGTTGTGCGGCAGCTGGACTGGTGACTGGGAGTGGCTGCCAAGACCATATAACACTGGTTTTGAAGGACCTACATTGGCTCGCAGGATGTTTCTGAGCACAATTCAAGGTGTTGGTGCTGACCTTTAGAGCCCTAAACCCTGGCAACTCTCAGGTGGGTGCCATTGGCATTCTAAGAGAACAAGGGAGGCCTTCGTGGCGAGTTCCAGCACCTCTTTTTCTAGAAAGATAGCTCTGATTGAATGTCCACAAGGCCTTGTTTTAGGAGAGAGGGGACGGTACTTTTCTCCATCCCCTTTCTCAATGCATCATTTTACAGTGGTACCTCGGGTTAAGTACTTAATTTGTTCCGGAGGTCCGTTCTTAACCTGAAACTGTTCTTGACCTGAAGCACCACTTTAGTTAATGGGGCCTTCTGTTGCCGCCACGCCTCCAGAGCACAATTTCTGTTCTCATCCTGAAGCAAAGTTCTTAACCTGAGGTAATATTTCTGGGTTAGCGGAGTCTGTAACCTGAAGCGTGTGTAACCTGAAGCGTATGTAACCTGAGGTACCACTGTATAGAGTTTTTCATGTTGCCTCAAACTCGCCTTTTCTCCAAACTAAAAAAAAAAGCACCGTCCTCTCTGCTAGCGATTATACTAAAAATTGCAGCATGCGGTTAGATCCTGGGAAATGCCGCTGTTTTTTTTTATTTATTTCTCACTCCTATTAAGTGGGCAGTGTTGAAACAATTGAGTTAGTTGTGCAGGGTTCTTTTCTTTTTCTTCTTCTGTTTTCCCCCCACCCCTCCCTTTGTTTGGAGCATGAGCTAACACCACAACTGACTGTTACTTCCTGGCCCCGGTTTCATGCATGTGGGGGGGAGAGACAAGTCGATGCCAGCAGTAGCCGGAGGACCTCAGCTTCTTCTTTTACTCCTTCGCGAAAAGAGAGCTCCAAGGCCCTCAAGAAGAACCAGGAGCTGCTGGTCGCAAAGGTAAGCCATCGCTAGTGTTTTCTGACACTGCCATTTTTTGACAGGGATGCCCCATTCGGTGCTCGACTGGGGTTGCCCATGTGGCGAAACGCAGCGCCACCCTTTCCAGCCTTACTCAGAAGCCTGCCTTACTGAGTCCAGTGAGACTTATTCCCTCGTAGAGAAAGCAGCTGTAGGCTGAAGACAGGCAATTATATGCACACATAGATAATACATAGGTAATAGAGAAGCACCGTTGCTCAACATTACCACATGCATCCTCGTGATCACGCTGACGGAGAGTTTTTTGTGACAGTTCAAATACCTTCATAGCAGAGCACATGTTTCGTTTGAGACTGGGAATGTTTTCTTTGTAATTCCGTTTCACATTGGTTTTGCATGCCAGCTTTTTTTCGGGGGTGAGGGGAGGAGAAAAGGTATATATAGTGCTATTTCGTAGGAAAAGAGGTGAACTCACCATGAACGCCTGCCTTGTTCTCTTCTCATGGCAAAGGCGCCCACCTGAGAAGTGGCAGAACTGAGTTCTGGTGAGTTCCACCTGAAACAAGCCCTGGGTATACATTTTTGAATACAAATATATAATCACCCTGAAGCCTCATGGGTGGGATGCAAGAGCAGGGCCCCACAGGTCAGGGTGTTTATCACAGGAAATAATGTGTTTGTCACCTACAATCAGCTCTCACAGAAAGCCACTGCCTGTCTGGAACCAAGAGCTGGTGTAATGTAGTGGCTGGAATTATCTGGAAAAAGATCTGTGAGACTCAGGTTCACATCCTCACTCTGTCCCAAAACTTGCTGGGTGACCTTGGGCCGGTTTCTATCTCTCTCTCTCTCTGCCTAGCCTACCTCTCAGGGTTGTTTGTCATGATCAAATAGGTGCGCAGTTAGAACATTTACTCAGTACGAATTATAGTGGCTGCAAAATCCGGATTGGGAGAGTGAGATTGTGATGGCTGGATTTGTGCATTTGGCTGAGGAGCTGTAGCTCAGCAGGAACTTCCAGACAACGTGTTTGTTGATCGTTCATCCTGATTTTGTTTTGAGGAAGGTTAGATGAAGCTGTGTGGAAGAAAGTGAGACCCCACACTTTGCAGTGCATTTTCGCGTCACTTTCTTTATTGCAAAAAGTCCAATACTTTGGGGAAGCAGGTTTCTTCTGCAAGACTTCCCAATCAACTTAGACTTGTTTAACCTTAATTTGTCGGCATGTGATTGAATCCCTTACAAAAACAGTGACATCGATATCTATTTATTTACATGCACAAGATCCCAAGTTTGATCCCTATTTAAGCATTTTAAGTGTCGGTCTCTGCTGGGATGTTAAAGATAAAGATCTGCTGAGATGGTAAAGGGACCCCTGACCATTAGGTCCAGTCGTGACCGACTCTGGGGTTGCAGCGCTCATCTCGCTTTATTGGCCGAGGGTCATGTGGCCAGCATGACTAATCCGCTCCTGGCGAACCAGAGCAGCGCACAGAAACGCTGTTTACCTTCCCGCCGGAGCGGTACCTATTTGTCTACTTGCACTTTGACGTGCTTTCAAACTGCTAGGTTGGCAGGAGCTGGGACAGAGCAACGGGAGCTCACCCCGTCACGGGGATTCGAACCATCGACCTTCTGATCGGCAAGAAGAAGAAGAAGAGGAGTTTGGATTTGATATCCCGCCTTTCACTCCCTTTAAGGAGTCTCAAAGCGGCTAACATTCTCCTTTCCCTTCCTTCCCCACAACAAACACTCTGTGAGGTGAGTGGGGCTGAGAGACTTCAAAGAAGTGTGACTGGCCCAAGGTCACCCAGCAGCTGCATGTGGAGGAGCGGGGACGCGAACCCGGTTCCCCAGATTACGAGTCCACCACTCTTAACCACTACACCACACTGGCTCTCCTAGGCTCTGTGGTTTAACCCACGTCCCGCACATCTGCTTACCAGTCAGCAAAGACTGTGTTGTGCTAGATTCAGCAGCTTCAGAAACCCAGTGTAAGTACCTTGGTTTGTGTATCAGACCAGGGAAGTCTAGCTTCAAATTTCCAGTATTCAGATTTATTCAAAAGGCAGCAAGTGATTCAAATTCCCACTGAGCTACGAAACTTACTAGGTCAGCTGAGGCTAGTCATTATCTCTCAGCCTGCCCTACCTGACACGGTTGTTGCAGAAGAGGGTAAAATGTAAGAGAGAAATACATGTGTGCTGCCTCTAGCTGCTTGGAGAAAAGGCAGAAAATTCCTGCAGCAAATAACTAAATCTGTATGCTCACGTTTTCAGGCACGAGATCTTATAGCCATCTTTGTAGTTTGGATATCTGCTTGTTGTTGGGCTTTTTTACGTAATGTTTGTATGTAAATTGCTCCCCTTTTGACCTGTGACATCAGACAGCCAGGACTATCTGCTAACGGGACAATGGGTTTCCCACCCACTCCTTTTTTTTCCTGAGGGTGCAGGGAGGTAAAGAGTCTATGGTCACATCCACAGCATATATTTAAAGCACACTTACATCACTTTAGGAGTCATGTTTTCCCCACCCTCAGAAGAATCCTGTGAACTATAGTTTGTTAAGGGTGCTGGGAGTTATAGCTCTGTGAGGGGTCCCTTAGCAACTCAAAGCACGCTTAACAAACGACAGCTCCCAGTATTCTTTGGGGGAAGCTGGGGGGGTTGTTCAGGGGGTTTCATTGGGGTTTTTTGTTGCTGTTCATGATGTTATTTCTTTGTACCTTTATTTTTAGATCTTACTATGATGGAAACTGTTCGGTTTGGCTGTGTATTTTCGATGTGTTTTATGTATCGTTCTTGACCACTTTCCTTCTGTTTGCAATTATGTGAATCTTTTAATGTGGTAAATGGCCTGGAACGTGGTTTTAAGTATGGAAAGGTACAAATAAAATGATGGTGATGACTCTTTGAAGTGGTATAAGAGTGTATCTTGTGGATGTGAGCTTAGTGGCGGGCTGACCCTGTCTAATTACAGCTCTGAATTAAGAGTAATAATAATAATAATATTTTATTTATACCCCACCCTTCCCAGTTCAAAAACTGGGCTCAGGGTGGCTAACAACAAATTTAAAACACTTAATTGTAAAAGCAGCATAAAATACAATATAAAAAACATGAATAATAATAAAATTCAAAATTCAGATGGCTGTGACTTCTCGGGAGCTCAACAACCCAGGGATCCTCTTTCGTTGCCTCATCTTTATTTCACAACTGGGGTTGCTTTGTACATTCCACCCATTCCATTAGCTTTTTAAGAAAATGTGAAATTGAGAGTTGGCAGGAGGCTTTTTCATTCTTCCATCCTCCTCCCAGATGCACCTTGCCTTTCTTCCCTGTGACTTTGCTAAGGGCTCTGGACGATAAAAGCCCAGCACCATGATTATTGCTTCTGTGTCCCACTTCTCATTTGTGGAGGGGCCTTACCCTAGAGGTCAGGGACAAACTTTGCACATCCCTTCCTTGTTGGACGGTTGCCTGTTTCTCTGCTCTGTAAGTTGACTCGCTGCTGCTTCCTCCCCCAGTCCATGGTTGCTGTAAGCTTTGTGTTTTCGTTTTAATTTGGGCGTGAGCTAATTTGCACTTCCTTTGGATGATTTAGATCTAGGGACATCCACAATATACACATAAACACAGAGAGAAAGAATTGCCTTTATTTATATATTTTTTAAAAGTGCATATTTACACAGGCATGGCTTCATCCAAAGATTCCTAGAAAATGTAGTTTACCCTTCTTCTTCTTCTTCTTCTTCTTCTTCTTCTTCTTCGATCACTCGTAGCCGAGTAAGATTGTCTTCCATAAACACAGTTTTAACCATGAGTCCGTAAGTGACTGTGGAGGCCAATTCTGGATCCACACGTCCTTCCACAGTGAGGACATTGGTTTCCGGGCAGGAGCTGATCACTGTGTGGATTTGCCAAGCATGCCTTCCTCTTAGCACGTTTCTCCCTTGCGTCCTGAGTTTGAGTGTCTTCAAAGCCCATGACACCTTTGGTAAAGGCTGTTCTGCAATTGGAGCACTCGCAGGCAAGTGTTTCCCAATTGTTGGTGTTTTATACTACATTTTTAAAGATTTGCCTTGAGACCTCTTTTGTTGACCACCAGCATTACACTTTCCATTTTTAAGTTCAGAATAGAGTACAGTGGTACCTCGGGTTAAGAACTTAATTCGTTCTGGAGGTCCATTCTTAACCTGAAACTGTTCTTAACCAGAGGTACCAATTTAGCTAATGGGGCCTCCCGCTGCCACCACATGATTTCTGTTCTCATCCTGAAGCAAAGTTCTTAACCCGAAGTACTATTTCTGGGTTAGCAGAGTATGTAACCGGAAGCGTCTGTAACCCAAGGTACCACTGTAGTTTCTTTTGAAGACGATAATCAGGCATCCGCACAACATGACCAGTCCAGCAAAGGTGATGTTGAAGAATCATTGCTTCAACACTGGTGATCTTTGCTTCTTCCAGTACACTGATATTAGTTCGCCTGTCTTCCCAAGTGATGTGTAAAAATTTTCAGAGACACCATTGATGGAATCTTTCGAGGAGTTGGAGATGGCGTGGTCCATGTTTCACAACCATACAGTAAGGTTGGTAGGACAATAGCTTTGTAAACAAGCATTTTGTTTTCCCTGCAGATGTCCCGATCCTCAAACACTCTGCACTTCAATTGGGAGGAAGCCAGACTTGCAGAGCTCAGGCGGTGCTGGATTTCGGCATCAAACTCTGTTGCAGGGGTGAGGCAGTTCTCCATAGACATTGGTCAGTGTAGCTTAGATTGTAGAGCCAGGGGCCTAAAGAAGAGATGAGGAACCTATGGCCCTCCAGTCATAGTTAGACTCCAACTCCCATCAGCCCCAGTTGGTGTGGCCAATGGTCAAGGATGATGAGAGTTGTAGTCCAACAACATCTGGAGGGCAATGGATAAGCCTGGCATAACAGGATCTGGTGTCAGGGCTGGACCAGGCCTTTCGCCAGCCTAAAAGGCCAAGGAGGGGCACTGAAAAAATAGAGGGGCAGTTTATCCCTTGTTGGCATCCATTTGTCTCAAGGGTCAGTGGGGTGCACCTCCGGGGGTGAAGTCAAACCACTGTGTTAGCAGCATCAAAGTGACCTCTCTGGGGTGCAGGTCTGGGCAGTGTGTCTGGAGGTCCTGGGCTGCCCAGACAACGACACCCCCCTCTCGGTCTTGCTGATGTGCTTCAAGGGAAAGCAGAGCAATCCATCTGGCATTAGCTTGGCTGCAGAAGTTGCTGGAAGGAGACATCTAAGACAACCATCTTAGGGACTCCATTCCGGATTTGTGTAGGGTTTACTCCAGAGCCTTTCCCTCTCCTGAAGATATCCTGCAAAGCAGCAGAGGTTTAGAATCAGAGCTTTCCTTTGCCTAGATGGGCTACCTTCCCAGGTGGATGAGCCCTCTCTGCCTCTCATTTCCTTCTACAGCACATGCAGAAACCGCCTTCTTGACCATTGGACCCACTGTTGGTCTCGTTCGCTCAATCCACTGGAGCCTGTCTTCGCATGCAGGGAAAGTCCCTAACTCACCAAGGGTTTGAGACCCATCGGCTAGCCTCTCCTGGTTTAGCCAGCCAGTTTAAGCCCTTTCCCGAGGTGTGGCTACTTTTGCCTGCTGACAGCTTCTAGGAGCCACAGGTGAGAGCTGAGGGACCAAAGGTGGTGACCAAAGGTGGACAAACTACCCCAGAAGGGGCATGACGTGTCCCCCAACAGATGTACTATACTTCCCCTAACCCTTATGTAGTCATCCCTATGTACTCATTCATGTTTTACTGTGGTGTAGTGGTTAAGAGCGATAGACTCGTAATCTGGGGAACCGGGTTCACTTCCCCGCTCCTCCACATGCAGCTGCTGGGTGACCTTGGGCCAGTCACACTTTTTGGAAGTCTCTCAGCCCCACTCACCTCACAGAGTGTTTGTTGTGGGGGAGGAAGGGAAAGGAGAATGTTAGCCGCTTTGAGACTCCTTTGGGTAGTGATAAAGCGGGATATCAAATCCAAACTCCTCCTCTTCTTCTTCTTCTTCTTCTTCTTCTTTTCATTATGGATAATAATGATCATAATTGCTGTTACCTGTACAGGCTCTGTAGTGGCTATAGGCCAAGTCAGGGAGCCAGTGTGGTGTAGTGGTCAAAGTGTCAGACTAAGACCTGGGAGACCCAGGGTTCAAATCCCCACTGGACTATGAAACACACTGAACAACCTTAGGCCATTCACTGCCTCTCAGCCTAACCTATGTGACAGAGGATTAAGTGAGACAAGGGAGAACCACAAAGGCCACCTTGAGCTCCTTGGAGGAAAAGATGGGTTATAAATGCAATGAAATAAAGTAATTAAGTAATTAAAACACTGAAAGGAGCAAGCAGGCCAACCTCACATCTCTCAAGTTCTGCAAATGATAGAAACTTGCTCTTCTTTTATCAAAATGAAAGCTGGGGATCTGGAGAGTATGGTTCATTGAAGAAGGGAGTTGCAATAAACTGAAACAAAAGCTTCTTTCTAAATTCCCATCTCCCCAAATTTTGCAATGCAGTTCTCCAGCCAAGAACTGTGTACAAAAATGTACCTGCTACAGTAAAGTGTACATATAAATGTGTGCATATTAGTAAAAAATGAATTAAATTGTGAGAAACGGCTTGTAAAAATGTGTATACTCAGCAAAACTGCCTAGAAAAATGAGGAAAATTTCAGCCTATCGTTGATGCATTTTCGCAAGGGATTTTTTAAAAAGAAATTTGAAAATTGCATTGTGTCAGGTGTGGTGAGGGTAAGAACGGGGCTTCAAAGGAACAATCGGAAGCTTAAAATTCCCAGTTATTCCTTTGATTGAGCAAGGTGAGCTGGTTAATTCTCTGATCGAGCAAGCAGGCCTCCACCCAATGTGATTCTCTTTCAAACCTCCACAGTTTAAAAGCAAAACACAGAGGGATTGTTTGAAAGTGCAATCCCACCCCATCCAAGCGCACCTTAACTCAAGGCTTTCAAATACCCCCATCCCAAGCTTTGCAAGCCGATCAGCACAATGCTGAAGGCTTTAAAATGACCCCCCATCCTCAGATGTTTGTAGGAGAAGCACGGAGTAGAGGGCATCTGAAAGCCCTTGATAAACATCACCCTGTTATGATGTTCCCCAAGGGCTGTTTGAAAGCCCTGTGATTCCCGACAATGGCGGGAAGCTTCACCTGATGTAATGATGACATTTGGTGATTGACAGGTGGGCGGCCCTGCATGCCTGTCAACTTTGGCGCACTGGGATGTGGGTGGGGCTAAAAATCAGGCTCCTCCGGCCAGAACAGGTTCCCTTAGAGCCTCTTCATTGGTTCTTGACATTCCCAAAAGAAGGCAATTCATCCCTTCCACCCACCTTGGTGCATTACTGATGCAGCAAGCTGGGAACTATCTGCTTTCACTTTTGATATGCTCAGCTCTTCTGTCTGTGGGTGGAGTGACCACTAGAGGTGAAGCAACCGCCATAGCTATGGTTTGTCAGATCAGGCATCCCACCTAACCATAGGTGGTGCGCAAGCTACAACTTGCAAAGCCACTTGAAAGCATGGTTGCTAAGTCTGGTTGGAGAGCATATCACAGAAGCTTCTGAGATCTGCGCACATCTGCCCTGTGTGGCAAACCACTGACCTGCTTGTGGTAGTAGCCTTCTCAGTGAAGGGCATTTAGATCCTCAACTTCCTCTGCCAACGCATGTTGCCCATTGGATCCTCCTGAGAAGGACAAGGTATAAGAGAACTTCCTGTTCCAGACAAGCCTTTCTTGATCAACAAGGTATGAAGAACATAAGAAGAAGCAATGGCCCATCACAGTGAACAACCACATGCCTCTGATGCTGACCTTTCAAGCCCTAAACAGCCTCGGCCCAGCATATCTGAAGGAGCGTCTCCACCCCCATCTTTCAGCCCGGACACTGAAGTCCATCTCCAAGGGCCTTCTGGTGGTTCCCTCACCACGAGAAGTGAGGTTACAGGGAACCAGGCAGAGGGCCTTCTTGTTGGTGGAACACCCTCCCTGTGGAAAACCCTCCCATCAGATGTCAAGGAAATAAACAACTACAGTGATACCTCGGGTTACATACACTTGCAGGTTACAGACTCCGCTAACCCAGAAATATTACCTTGGGTTAAGAACTTTGCTTCAGAACAGAAATCGCGGTGCGGCAGCAATGGGAGGCCCCATTAGCTAAAGTGGTGCTTCAGGTTAAGAACAGTTTCAGGTTAAGAACGGACCTCCAGAATGAATTAAGTACTTAACCCGAGGTACCACTGTATCTGACTTTTAGAAGACATCTGAAGGCAGCCCTGTTTAGGGAAGTTTTTGATGTTTGATGTTTTATTCTGTTTTTATGTATGTTGAAAGAAGCCTAGAGTGGCTAGGGAAACCCAGCCGGATGGGTGGGGTATAAGTAATATCTTATTATTATTAGGTAAAGGGTAAAGGGTCCCCTGACCATTACGTCCAGTCATGACCGACTCTGGGATTGCAGTGCTCATCTCACTTTATTGGCCGAGGGAGCCAGCATACGGCTTCCGGGTCATGTGGCCAGCATGACTAAGCCGCTTCTGGCGAACCAGAGCAGTGCACGGAAACGCCATTTACCTTCCTGCCAGAGTGCTACCTATTTATCTACTTGCACTTTGACGTGCTTTCAAACTGCTAGGTGGGCTGGAGCTGGGACCGAGCAACGGGAGCTCATCCCGTCGCAGGGATTTGAACCACCGACCTTCTGATCGGCAAGTCCTAGGCTCTGTGGTTTAGACCACAGCGCCACCCGCGTCCTATTATTATTAATCCACAAGCAGGACCGGAACACAAGAGCTCTCTCACCTCTTGTGGTTTCCAGCAACTAGAATTCAGAAGCATTGCTGCCTCTGACCATGGAGGCAGAGTATAGCTATTATGGTTAGTAGCCTTTGCTAGCTCACTCCTCTGTGAAAGCCATCCATGTTGGCGGCTATCACTGCTTCCTGTGGCAGTGAGTTCCATAGTTTAGCTATGTGTTGTATATTGTAAAATGTATTGCTTAATCAGCCCCACTGCCCCCTCCTCTAAGCAGTGTACATAGAATCATAGACTTGGAAGGCACCGCAGATATCATCTAGTCCAGCCCTCTGCAATGCTGGAATCTTTCGCCCCACACGGGACTCAGATCCCAGGACCTTGAGATTAACATTCTCATTCTCTAGCGACTGAGCTAGCCCTTGTGGAACAGTATCAAATATTCAATAGACAACACTAGTAAAATTAAACTTGGAAACAGACAGACGTAATTAAATGCTTCGGGGTATAGACAAATAATCAGCAGTTTTAAAAAAACAAACGGTACGATGCGATAATCTTTATTGTCATTGTCCCATACAGAACAATGAAATTGAAAAAATCTACATCAGACATTCAAAAACCAACAAGCCTGATATCCCAGCTATCCCAGCCTGGTTATCCCCCTAAAAACTCTGATACCCCATAATTAGATACAATATACTCCTATAGAGAGTACCTTACACTACGTTTAAAACCAAAATCGCATTTGGATAGAAACTCTTTCTCAGGTGGGTGGGTGGCACTGTGGGTTAAACCACAGAGCCTAGGACTTGCCGATCAGAAGGTTGGCGGTTTGAATCCCTGCAACAGGGTGAGCTCCCGTTGCTCAGTCCCTGCTGCTGCCAACCTAGCAGTTCGAAAGCACGTCAAAGTGCACGTAGATAAATAGGTACTGCTCCGGCGGGAAGGTAAACGGCGTTTCCATGCGCTGCTGTGGTTTGCCAGAAGCGGCTTAGTCATGCTGGCCACATGACCTGGAAGCTATAGTGCTTCAGGTTAAGAACTTTGCTTCAGGATGAGAATAGAAATCATGCTCCGGTGGCGCGGCGGCAGCAGGAGGACCCATTAGCTAAAGTGGTGCTTCAGGTTAAGAACAGTTTCAAGTTAAGTACAGACCTCCGGAACGAATTAAGTACTTAACCCGATGTACCACTGTATCCGTTTTGCTCAGGAACTGGACAGAGACAACAGAAGGAAGAATAACTGGGTATTACCTTGGAGTGATCATTTCAAATATTTTCAAGAAATCTTGTATATACAGCTGACAGACAGATAGTTGGATAGTTTTATTCTGTATTCCTCTCTGGTCATCCCCCCACCCCCACCCCGGTCCTTTTAAAATTCTTTATACCTCTCTGGTCCTTTTTTCTCCCTGTGTGAGAGGCAGGGAAGGGGAGATCTCCCAGGGTGCAAGGCTGGGGGAAGAAAGGGATGCTCCCAGGTGAGAGCTGGGAGGACACACCTTTTTCTGCATGGGACAAAAATTAAGATACAGTGGTACCTTGGTTGTCGAACTTAATCCGTTCCAGGAGTCCATTCAACTCCCAGGACTGTTTGAAAACCAAGGCGCAGCTTCCGATTGGCTGCAGGAGCTTCCTACACTCAATCGGAAGCTGTGTCGGACATACGGCTTTGAAAGAACATTCAAAAACCGGAACACTTAAGTACAAGTAACAAAGCGTTTGAGAAACAAGGTATGGCTGTATATCTGTGAGAGAGGGCTTCACATTTTTCTATCTCTCTTTCTTTAGCTCTCTTTTCTTCCTTTCTTCTTTGTTTAGATTAGTTTGTTTTTTTATTGTACTACGCAAAAGTTTTAATAAAACCTCATTTTTTAAAAAAAGGAACTGGGTAGAGACGGTAGCAAGCAAATGAGAACAAGTTGTTATCTAATAACCCTGGAATGTATGCTACTAAGGTTCTTTTGTCATGTTAGTTTCCCCTGTAATTCTCATAGTCAACAAAGATCAAATTAATTCCCCATTGTCATCATTCTGTGTCTATACCATTCTATAGTAAACTACGCTCAAGGTGGATCACAACTCGGGGGGGCGCAATTTCCCCACAATTCATAATTTACAGAATACAACAAGCTGCTTTCTTTTTGCTTTATGTTTATTTTTATTTAAAAGAAAGAGGGGGAAGTAACTCAGGGTCCCTTCTACAAATCTATGATTTGATTATTCAATGAAATAATCGGTAAGTTAGTGAAAGCCTCTCATCCAAAAATATTCCACAAAATTGAACTATACCCTTAATAAGGTCTATCAACAAAATGCAAAAATAAAAATAATGCATCACCAAAAATTAAATCTTAGTGTCAACAGAAGCCTTGAACACCACACCACCCTGATCACAGAGCAGCTCACAAAATATACTATTACTATAGCGCTTGCCAACCTGGCACTTTCCAGATGTTCTGGACTGCAAATTCCCATCAGCCCCAGCCAGCGATGGTGGGAGTTGGCATCAGGAGGGCACCAGGTTGACAAATGTTGGAAGACGAGGCGGTAAACAACTAAAAACTGGATCAGTTCATAACCCACTAACCTAACAGTAAGGTCAACAGGAAATTTGGTTGCCGTTGTTATTTCTTCACACACTCTGTCTGTTTTTATCTGCTCTCCCACCCTGCTTCTCCCACACTGGCAACTCGCATGCATGGCCTGGTGTGATTTCCTGCTTGGCTCAGTATCTAAACACCTCCGTTCTTTTCACTTTCCCCTACAACAACAGGACTGACTCTAAGTTTGAGCCAAGCTGGCACCCTTACCCAGAGAGGCAACAGGCAGCAGCAACCTAGCCCATGCCAGCCACTGTTTAAATTTCCCACAGTGCCTATATTTCTCAAGAATATTGTGGGAAATTAAAACGACAGGTTCCAAACCCCAACTGGGAGGCCCCCATCTTTGTTTCCCACAATGCCCCGGGAAACGTTACATTAAGGGCATTGTGGGAGATTCCTGGAATTGTATCTGGCTAGGACCTTCTGCATGCAAAGGAGATGCCTCACCATTGTGCTACGGTCCCTCCCAGTGATTTGGGAATCACTGCCCCTAAGGCGTTAGGAGATAATATCGTTACAAAAGTTGCGTGCCACCCACACCCTCTGCCAAGCTGCAACAAGAGCCCATGGGGTGCCAGGCATTCACTCAGGGTCTGTGTTCCTTTGGAGAATTGAGACATGGCAGAAACTGTCGTAGTTTTAAGAAACATGACTTATTCACCTATTTACACTTCAGTCCAGATCTTACAGCATGGTCATTTCAAGAAGGGCTTGTCCCTCATAGCAAAGCAGCTCTGGAGTCCAAGGCATCTCTCTCAGCCAGCCTTCAGCCAGGCTGCCCAAGATGAATGCCAGTCTTTATTCTCCCTTCTTCCTCCCAGAACACCCTGCTAAAAACTCCCTTTTCTCCTCTCACCCAGTTAACCCTGCCAACCTTCCAAAGCCCCGGTCTCTGTTCACACCTCAGGGCAAGGGGAAGGACAGTTTTCTTGCCTTGCCAATGGCCCTCAATGGCCCTGTATTGTTTCTTAATGTCCCTAACTTGGCCAGGTAATTTTGCATAGGCTAGCTCAGGAATTCCTCTGCAGCTTGTATTTCACCCTTCATATCCCACTTATTAATTTCTAGGGTTTAGCACTGCCCCCCATCTATAACAATACAGTAGTACCTCTGGATACGAACGGGATCCATTCCGGAGCCCCGTTCGCATCCTGAAGTAAATGTAAGACGCAACTGCGTGTCTCCGCGGGTCGCGTTTCACCGCTTCCACGACAGCGTGTGACGTCATTTTGAGCGTCTGCGTGAGCAGCGAAACCCGGAAGTAACGCACTCCGTTACTTCCATGTCACCACGGAGCGCAACCCGAAAATATTCATCCCGAAGCTACTTCAACCCGAGGTATGACTGTATTATGCAGTTAAGAACTCTCCCAAAGAGGAGCTTTGGGGCATTTTTGAGTGGGCTCCAAACAGATGTTTCTACTATTTCCACATCCGCTTTCATAGAACGAGATGCCTGTTCTCAGATCCTCTTTTTAAAACAAAACAAAACGTAGGAGCTGTTTCCTTAACACTGAAGAGAGGAACCCAGTCATCTTGCAGACACTGGGTGGAACTGTTGGGACCGTGTGACTTTTTATTTTATTTTTATTTTTTAATGATATTTATTGAAATTTCAAAAAATACAAAGAATACAAAACAAAAAATAGAAAATACAAAAGCTTACACAAAAAAGAAATACAAAAATAAAAATAAAAATATGAAAAAGTAGAAGATGCAGAAGAAAAATAATAATAAAGAAGAAAAAACAAAACAATTTCATTATTTTCAGATCCTTAACTGTCATTACCTTCTTTCTTAGACCTCCTCCTCCTCCCTTCCTTTGTATTCTAGTTGTTAATTATCCCAGCAAATCCTTTCTAATCCTATCTTTCTATAATAAAATAAACCTTAAAATTTAAAATTTAAGTCTTAACTTTACCAGCTTCTTGTGTTCATAATGTTCTTTCATAATTCTTTATACATCTTTACTAAAGCCAGGTAATTTCTCCAACATTTTTCTATCATTCATTTTTCTGTCATTCTATCATTCATCAACTTTATAAAACATTCTATTAGTTAAAAAAAGAAAAAAGAGAAAAAAGCATATAAACAAGTCCAATCTTTATCCAACGTCCCTTCCTCCTGGTTCCGGGATTTGTCAGTCCTTATTCCTCAATCTAACCCGGTGACCTTATGTCCGAGGCCCTCAGGTCACTTCCATGGCCCTTCCGCGGCTTTTCTTCATATTTGTGGCTGTAGTCACTTGCTCGTAGTAACTCCAACTTAATAGTGTTTTTGGCCCTTCTCATCAAGTCAAACCCTTTTCCATATTCATCGCTGCATTCCATGTAGTATTTAAGAGCATGCTTCAAGGGCCCTCCGAAATTGTGGGCCCCCACAATTCCAAACATGTCGCAGCCTGTTACTGTATTTAAAAAGTCCAGATATCCCGACATAGGGGGGTCAATCCAGCCCCCCATTTCCAAACCACAGCGAACTTTCCCTTCCCAGATCTGGTTTTTTCCAAGTTCCTTTGTCAAATCCAAAGGATCAAACTCCTGTTGAAACTGTTCTGTCAAGCCACACTCCTGATTTAATGCCACAAACCCCTGTTCTGTCAAAACACACTCCTGGTTTGAGTCCTGGATAGACTCCACATATATTCCCACAGTCTGATCAAAACCTTCCACTGCCTGTCTAAGATTCCCAGTCGAGTTGGCCATCTGGTTCACCTTATCATATATTTCTTCCAGTAGAATATTTGTTTTATTAAGCAGGCACACCACAACTTCTGAAAACATTGTTGCGCTTTCCCACGGTTATTTGTAGCAACTGTCAAGTCCTTGGCATTAGTTACAGTTTCAAAGGCTCCCCCTAGGGAGAAGACTTATATTTGTTTTTGCTACATTTCCAAGATACTTGAAATACTTTATCCATATATATTCCTTTAAAATGCGAAAGGGAACAGTAAAGTCACAAAGATTCACTTCTTTTAGCTATCTGTCACACACAGTTATCTTGATAAATTCACGTCAGTCCTGACTTCCCCGCTCCAGGATCAGGACGAAAATAACTTCCTTTTACTGCTTCAAGTAGTCCAAAAAAATATTCCCAATTTAAAATGTTGGAATCCACTCTTTTAAAAGCAATTTTCAAAGCTCTAGTGTAAATTGCCTTTGCTTTGTTCTATTTACAAAAGAACGGAAGGGTGACTTCCTGTTTAGCCCTTCCCGCTCCGTACCAAATTCAATAGATTTTTTCTCTTTTTTTTATAATCCAATTCTGTCCTTTTCCCAAATCTTCATTTACTGTCCCAATTTGTTCAAATTCTAAGTACTCATGGGTATTTGTTTTAAAGTCCGAATTGTCCAGGAAAAAAGGCAGCGCTCTCCGGCAACAGCTACGCGGCTTCACTCCACAAAAGAAGCAGACGACTCGCAGCACAGCGCCACTTCCCCGCTCTGTTCCGGAGCCTGTTGCCGGGTTCCTTTGCAGATTGGGGGGGCGCAAACAGTGCCCGCCGAGTCCCAGGGTCACAGGCTTCACCCGCCTGTGGTTTAAAGGGTCCCCGCTGCGCCGAAGCGGTGTTAGACCCGATTTCTGTGGAGCAGTTTCCCTCCGAGTTAGAGGGATTCCGCCATTGCCGTTGGCGCCACCTCCGGAAGTCCGGGACCGTGTGACTTTTTAGTCCAGGGAAAAGGAAAGTAAGAGGGGACAAGATAGAAGTCTATAAAAGTCTTGTGAAAAGGAAAGTGGTGGGAAAATGCACATGAAAGTGTGGAATACACCTTGCTTTGACACAGCTCCATTTAACCACTTTGTAAACAAATAAGGATAAATGCTCATCAAATAGGCAACATTGTAGAATCTGCAGACAGATCAGGAGGAATGCTCATAAACAGCCCCACATAAGCAAATCAGGACAAGTGCTCATTGATGTATAACCTCCCTGCAAGCAAATCAAAGAAATATAAGAAATGGAAGAAAGGGGAAATCACAAAGGAGGAGTATACACGAGTAGCCAGTGGTTGCAGGGTGAAGGTCGGGCTGGCTAAAGCTCAGAATGAGCTCGGGCTTGCAAGAGAGGCTAGCAATGATAATAATAAAGGTTTCATCGGATATGTCCGAAACAAGAGGAGGAAGAGGCAAGCGGTAGGTCCTCTGCGTGGAGAAGGTGGAGAAAGGTTGTTGGGTGACAACGAGAAAGCACTCTCAACACCTATTTTGCCTCTGTCTTTACCCAAAAGGAAAGCAGTGCCCAAGCTGGTAAAAAGGTAAAGGTAAAGGGACCCCTGACCATTAGGTCCAGTCGTGACCGACTCTGGGGTTGCAGCGCTCATCTCGCTTTATTGGCCAAGGGAGCCGGCGTGCAGCTTCCCAGAATTCTGGCAAACCACAGCAGCGCACAAAAACACCGTTTACCTTCCCGCGGGAGCGGTATTCATTCTACTTGCACTTTGACGTGTTTTCGAACTGCTAGGTGGGCAGGAGCAGGGACCAAGCAATGGGAGCTCACCCCGTCACGGGGATTCGAACCGCCGACCTTCTGATCGGCAAGCCCTAGGCGCTGTGGTTTAGACCACAGTGCCACCCGCCCAACCTGGTAGTAACAGAATAAATGATGGAAGGAGGGAGTTGCAGCCCAAGATAGGAAAAGAGGTGGTAAGGGAACACCCATCTACTTTAAATGCATTCAACTATCCAGGGCTTGATGAGCAGCACTCAAGGGAACTAAAGGCGCTTGCAGGGGTAATCTCAGAGCCTTTGTCTATGTTCTTTGAGAATTCTTGGAGAACAGGTGAAGTCCCTCCAGACTGGAGGCAGGCAAATGTTGTCCCTATCTTCAAAAAGGGGAGAAAAGAAGACCTGGGTAAATACCAACTAGTGAGCTTGACATCAATATCAGGAAAGGTCCTAGAACAAATAATTCAACAGTCGGTCTGTGAGTGCTTAGAAAGGGATGCTGTGATTACATGCCAGGTGAATCTCATATCTTTTTTTGATGGAGTTACAAGCTTGGTAGATCGGGGAATGTTGTGGACATAGTGTATCTTCATTTCATTAAGGCTTTTGACAAAGTCCAATTCTATGAGTCTATTATTCTATGAAACACACGATAAAGACTGACCATAATCTATCCTTCCCGTAGGCTTTGTTCAAGCAAATCAGGATGAACACCCAATAAATAGGGCAGCTGGAAGAACCCATAGTTGCAAAACCCGGCCATTTCAAAAATGATCCTAAGCAAAACTAAATACATAAACAACAAAAGCATCACAAAGAGGACCCATAGATATGAGTACACGAGTTTCCCCCCCCCCCATTTTAATACCCCTGTTGTTTCAGCAGGCTTTGCTGTTTGACTATCCTACCCGCCCCCTAAAAGCCTGCCCAACCCTGTCAATATCCTGTCCTGCGCTGGCTTCTGAAGCAAGGTGTGTTAGCAACCTGACCGCAGCCTGATAGGCAGATGTTTTATCTGACAATGGATCTGGCTATTCTTCGTATAGAATAACCACAACTTAAAGACTCACAGCAACCATTGGTTTTCCCCGCCGGGGCTGAGAAGAGCAGTAGATGTGCATTCGGTGTCCAGGTGCATTGATCTTACTTTTATTTACTTATAACTTTATTTATATTCCACCTTTCTGATTCTGGTCCAGCCAAAGGAGCCCACAATATCGCAAAGAGCACAATGGATGCTGTTGCAAACACCCTCGTCTCTGAGTGGCAAGAGATTCCAAGAGTGCCTGCACATAACCAGGGTTTGGGTTTCCTTGGGGTTTTTCCACAAGAGTTTTTCTAAAGGACTCTGAGCAACTTGCAGAGTTAATGATTAACTCTTACTCTGCCACCCACTTTTTTTTTTGTCAAGGGCCACCTGAAATCAGGCCAAGGGCTGGTGTTTGCTCACACCTTGTCTTCCAGGAATGGACTGCCTTTCAGCCAGGCTGCACAGGACAACTTGATGATAAAGATCATGGGTAGGCAAACTAAGGCCTGGAGCCCAGATCCGGCCCAATTGCCTTCTAAATCCGGCCCGCAGACGGTCCGGGAATCAGTGTGTTTTTACATGAGTAGAATGTTTACTTTTATTTAAAATGCATCTCAGGGTAATTTGTGGGGCATAGGAATTCGTTCATTATTATTTTTTCAAAATATAGTCTGGCCCCCCACAAGGTCTGAGGGACAGTGGGCCCGGCCCCCTGCTGAAAAAGTTTGCTGACCCCTGATAAAGATTTTCCAGAGATCCCTGAGATACCTCTTAAGGTTTTCATTGAGGGATGCTTTAAAACCTTAGGAACATAGGAAGCTGCCCTACCCCGAGTCAGACCATTTGTCCATCTAGCCCAATATTGTCTACACTGGCTGGCAGCAGCTCCCCGGGGTTTCAGGCAGGAGACATTCCCAGCCATACCTGGAGATACCAGAGACAGAACTTGAGACCTTCTGCATGCAAGGCAAATGCTCTAGCACTGAATCATGGCCCTTCCTTCAGAAGAAACTCCTTGAACAGAGTTTCAAAATCTAGATCATCAGATTGCCCAGAGTCGCTTAACTGAAAGGCAGTACATTCCTGGAGCACTGCAGATATTAATATTGTTCAGGTTGAAGCAAACGGATGCATAAAAACTGACTCCTCTTCTTGGAATAAAACATTGTCCAGACAATGTATTAAGTAGTGCATTAATGTGTTAAGTATTGTTCAAAACTTTACTTGCAGAACTTTCTTCCAAAACAGGTATAAAACAATCAAAGATACGTCCAGATAGTTCCATGAGACACATGCCTGTTCTTAGAAATAAAATAACTTATAAGCAGAGCTGACAAACATAGCGCTCTCTCTCTCTCTCTCTCTCTCTCTCTCACACACACACACACACACACACACACACACAGGCTCCATTAGCCTGCATTTCAGCCCAAGACTGTAAGCTCCTTGGAGTGAGTAATTTGCACATCCTTCACTCACGGAGCCTGGGAACAAAGAAAACAGCCACCAGCCTTCCAAGATGGTGATTTGCAATTGAATACCTTGATTATGTGATCTAAGGTTAAACACTCATGTGATAGAGCAGAGAACATTCTCAGTTAATCGTTAACTTAATCAGAGCTCAGAAAGCTCTTAGTATGCTGCTGTGGAAAATCTCCAAAGTCAGCAATACACATTCAAGAATTCTCCATTTTGGTCTCAGTTAAACAATTATACTTAACATGGAGGACAAGGAGTAGGCAAATTTCAGCCCTCACATGGCCCTTGGTCTAATTTCCTGGTGGTGGCAAAGGGGGGTCCTTCTTTGGATCTGCTTCTTCCACCACTTCCCTGTAACCCCTGGCAGATTATCCCCAGAAGATATGTCACCCTCAGCAGGAAAAAGGTTCCCCAGCCCTACTGTAGGGCAACAGTTAAGTCTGGCCAGTGAATAAGCCCTCTACAACATTCCCCATGATCCTTTGCCTCATGCGAGGGTTCAGTGGCAGGCGTGCCAAGCAGAAGGGCTCCTTGTGAGACAAGTCAGTGCAGAAATGAAACAGGCTACAAAAACTTTCCCTGAAGCTAGAAAGTATCAAAACCACTAGCCCAATGCAAATTCTAATTTGTCCAATCCTCTTTTAAAACCATCCAAATTGGTGGCTGTCGTGGAGCGAGTTCTCTAGTTATCTATGCATGTGTGAAGAATGTTGTCAACTAGATGCATGGAACTGAAGCGTGGGTAGAGATGGTTCTTCTAATCCTAAACTTACTTCTCCACATTTCCACATCAGTCCTTGTGAAAATTCCCCTTCATTTTAGTGCAAATTCTTCCTAATATCCTAATTTTTTATTTTCCTTTTACACGATCTTGCCTAATACACACGTTTTTGCAAAACAGATTCCCCTAAAATAGTGCAATTTTGTATGTTATTTTCACCAGCATGTGCATTTCTGGAGAACTGCATTGCAAAATTCAGAGAACCACAAATTTTGACAGGAGGCATCATTTGGGGGGGGGGGGGTTGCATCGTTTTGGGAAGTGTGAATTGGGTAGGTTCACCGTTAAATGTGAACGCCTTCAAACGTTGTGGTGCAGTTCTCCTGCAAAGTAATGTACAGAAAGTCATGCACAAGTGAAAATAACATACAAAAACATTCCTCTTTGGCTGATTGACGGCCAATGCCCTTTTAAAATGTGTTGGGGAAAGGGGGTTCATTGGGTTGTTTTTGTTAGTTATTTCTATTATGCATTTCGTATTTTTATATTGTGGTTTTGTGTTGTAGCCGCCCTGAGACCTGTGGGTGTAGGGCAACATACAAATTTAAATAAGAATAAGAATTTCTTGCACAAAAGTATATTAGTCAAAACTGCATGCAAAAATCTGAGTATTAGAATAAATTCAAACCAAATGCTGACAAATTTTCATGAGGCTTATTTTTATTTTTATTATTCAAATTTCTGCAGAAAGGTAAAGAACTTGAATTTAAGCCGGGGGGGGGTGAAAAACAGGGAACCAAAACGGGCAAATCTGTCCATCCTTAATCTATCGAAACGTGTTGGGTTTGGCCTTTAAGGTGCCACAGGGGGTATTTTCTCTCTCTCTCTCTCTCTCTCTCTCTCTCTCTTTCCCTCTCTCTCTCTTTCCCTCTCTCTCTCTCTCTTTCTTTCTTTCTAGCTGGTGCCACTTGCATAATTTCTTACACATAGTGGCACAGGAAATATAAAAGGCAGAAGGAACTGAGAAAAGGTGGGGGCCTCCCTGGGAGGGATAGGGCTGTTTACGTTAACTGAGGCCCCAGCCATTTACAACTTTCTCTCGACGGCAAGGCTTGCAGTTGGTTTCTGTGTTAGCGTTGCAAGAGGCGATGATGAAAGGGCTCTTGCACCATGCAGACGCTCTCGCTATTGAGCTCCAGGGGGCTTCCAGAAGTGGAGCAAGACCCAGGCAAAAAGTCCAGAGGGGAGGGAGGTCATGGCTTTGAAGCAGATCATGAGGCTCACCAAGGAAGAAAATAAAAGTCCCTAGAATCATAGAATCATAGAGTTGGAAGAGACCACAAGGGCCATCGAGTCCAACCCCCTGCCAAACAGGAAACACCATCAGAGCACTCCTGACATATGGTTGTCAAGCCTCTGCTTAAAGACCTCCAAAGAAGGAGACTCCACCACACTCCTTGGCAGCAAATTCCACTGTCGAACAGCTCTTACTGTCAGGAAGTTCTTCCTAATGTTTAGGTGGAATCTTCTTTCTTGTAGTTTGGATCCATTGCTCCGTGTCCGCTTCTCTGGAGCAGCAGAAAACAACCTTTCTCCCTCCTCTATGTGACATCCTTTTATATATTTGAACATGGCTATCATATCACCCCTTAACCTCCTCTTCTCCAGGCTAAACATGCCCAGCTCTCTTAGCCGTTCCTCATAAGGCATCGTTTCCAGGCCTTTGACCATTTTGGTTGCCCTCCTCTGGACACGTTCCAGTTTGTCAATGTCCTTCTTGAAGTGTGGTGCCCAGAACTGGACACAGTACTCCAGGTGAGGTCTGACCAGAGCAGAATACAGTGGCACTATTACTTCCCTTGATCTAGATGCTATACTCCTATTGATGCAGCCCAGAATTGCATTGGCTTTTTAGCTGCCGCGTCACACTGTTGGCTCATGTGAAGTTTGTGGTCAACCAAGACTCCTAGATCCTTTTCACATGTACTGCTCTCAAGCCAGGTGTCCCCCATCTTGTATTTGTGCCTCTCATTTTTTTGCCCAAGTGCAATACTTTACATTTCTCCCTGTTAAAATTCATCTTGTTTGTTTTGGCCCAGTTCTCTAATCTGTCAAGGTCGTTTTGAAGTGTGATCCTGTCCTCTGGGGTGTTAGCCACCCCTCCCAATTTGGTGTCATCTGCAAATTTGATCAGGATGCCCTTGAGTCCATCATCCAAGTCGTTGATAAAGATGTTGAATAAGACCGGGCCCAAGACAGAACCCTGTGGCACCCCACTAGTCACTCTTCTCCAGGATGAAGAGGAACCATTGATGAGCACCCTTTGGGTTCGGTCAGTCAGCCAGTTACAAATCCACTGAGTGGTAGCATAGTCAAGACCACATTTTACCAGCTTCTTTACAAGAATATCATGAGGCACCTTGTCAAATGCCTTGCTGAAATCAAGGTAGGCTACATCCACTGCGTTCCCTTCATCCACCAGGCTTGTAATTCTGTCAAAAACGAGATCAGGTTAGTCTGACATGACTTATTTTTCAGAAATCCATGCTGACTATTGGTGATCACAGCATTCCTTTCTAGGTGCTCACAGACTGTTTGCTTAATGATCTGCTCCAGAATCTTCCCTGGTATTGATGTCAGACTGACTGGGCGGTAATTATTTGGGTCCTCTCTTTTCCCCTTTTTGAAAATAGGGACAACATTTGCCCTCCTCCAGTCTGCCGGGACTTCGCCTGTTCTCCAGGAATTCTCAAAGATGACTGCCAGTGGTTCTGAGATCACATCTGCCAGTTCTTTTAATACTCTTGGATGCAGTTCATCTGGCCCTGGAGACTTGAATACATCTAAACTAGCCAAGTATTCTTGTACTATCTCCTTAGTTATTCTGGGCTGTGTTTCCTTTGCTGAATCATTTGCTCCAAATTCTTCAGGTCGGGCATTGTTTTCTTTATCGGAGAAGACTGAGGCAAAGAAGGCATTGAGGAGTTCAGCTCTTTCTGTGTCCCCTGTTTGCATTTCACCATCTTCTCCTCTGAGTGACCCCACTGTTTCTTTGTTCTTCCTTTTGCTACGGACATACCCATAAAAGCCTTTTTTGTTGCTTTTAACCTCTCTAGCAAGCCTGAGTTCATTCTGTGCTTTAGCTTTTCTGACTTTGTGTCTACACGTGCTGGCTATTTGTTTGAATTCCTCTTTGGTGGTTTCCCCCTTTTCCATTTTTGTACACATCCTTTTTAATCTTAACTCAGTTAAAAGTTCTTTAGATAGCCACCCTGGCTTCTTTAGGCACCTTCCATGTTTCCGTCTCATTGGTATTGCCTGACGTTGTGCTTTTAGTATCTCCCTCTTAACAAACTCCCAGCCATCATGAACTCCCTTTCCTTTTAGTATTACTGTCCATGGGATCTCACCCAGCACTTCCCTAAGTTTTATGAAGTCAGCTTTCTTAAAGTCAAGAAATTGAGTCCTAGTATGCTTGGCTGCTCCTTTCCGCTGTATAGTAAACTTCAGAAGAGCATGATCACTTGCGCCTAATGATCCTTCCACTTCTACCCCACTAACCAGGTCATCAACATTGGTTAGGACCAGATCTAAAATGGCTGTTCCTCTTGTTGCTTCTCCCACTTTCTGGACAATGAAGTTGTCTGCAAGGCCAGTGAGGAATCTGTTTGACCTTATGCTCTTGGCTGAGTTTGACATCCAACAAATATCCGGGTAATTGAAGTCCCCCATTACTACTATCTCCCTTCCTTTTGCATGCTTGGCCATCTGTTCCAGGAAGGCATCATCTATGTCCTCCGTTTGGCTTGGGGATCTATAGTAAACTCCCACAATGAGGTCACTGTTATTCTTCTCTCCTTAATTTTGACCCAAATGCTCTCACTTTGGCTTTGAGGTTCTAAATCTTGGATCTCTTCACAGGTATACACATCCCTGACATATAACGCCACTCCTCCTCCTTTCTTGTCTGGTCTGTTTCTCTGAAATAGATTGTATCCCCCATTATTACATTCCAATCGTGGGACTTATCCCACCAGGTTTCAGTGATGCCTATTATGTCATATTTAGTTTGCTGTACCAAGAGCTCAAGCTCATCTTGTTTATTTCCCATGCTTTGCGCATTAGTGTACAGACATTGAAGTCCATTAATCATTCCCCGTGACTCTTATTTAAGGATTTTTCCTCCCACCACTAGGTCTGTGTGCTGTTTGCTCCATTTGGTCTATGACATTTGGATGATCATCTTCATCAATTGATAGACTCCTACCTTCAGGAGCACTATCTCCCTCCCCACATTAGTCAGTTTAAAGCCCTCCTGATGAGGTTTCTGAGATTTTTGGCAAAAACATTTCTCCCAACCGTTGTGAGGTGCAGCCCATCGCTTGCCAGAAGTCCATCTTCAAGAAACTGCAGTCCGTGATCTAAGAATCCAAACCGTTCCTGTTTACACCATTTGCGAAGCCAGCTGTTCACTTCCACTATTTTCCCCTCTCTCCCTGGGCCACGTCGTTCAACTGGGAGGACAGATGAGATCACAATTTGTGCATTTAATTGCTTCAATTTCCTGCCCAGAGCCTCGTAGTCTCTTTTGATCTTCTGGAGGCTATTGCTTGCAGTGTCATTGGTTCCCACGTGAACCAAGAGGAAGGGGTATTTGTCAGTGGGTTTTATGATTCCTTGCAGTCGTTCAGTTACATCTTGGATCTTAGCCCTGGGAGACAGCACACTTCCCGAGACATCTTGTCAGGCCCACAGATCACTGCTTCTGTTCCCCTCAGTAGGGAATCCCCTATCACCACTACACGCCTCCTCTTAGGTTTGGCCGGGGTTCTTCTGTGAGCTGTCCGCTCCAAGGTCGCCTGCACATTCCCTGAGGACTGACTTTGCTGCTCGTCTTCATATACCTGATCGACTGTAATGAGGGAGAGATCCTCAAATGGAGTCTGCTCTTCGTCTTCCATGCTAGGGAGAGGACCTCAAAGCGATTGTGTATTTCTAAACAATCAGAGCGAACCCTGGGCCTCCTACTTCTTTGAGTCACGTTTCTCCATATATCTGGCTCCTGTGTTGGTGAACTAGCGTCCTTCTCAGGGGAGTCCCCTGTCTCCTCCTCCCTATCAGAGAAGAATCCCTGGGATGCGGGTGGCACTGTGGGTTAAACCACAGAGCCTAGGACTTGCCGATCAGAAGGTCGGCGGTTCGAATCCCCGCGACGGGGTGAGCTCCCGTTGCTCGGTCCCTGCTCCTGCCAACCTAGCAGTTTGAAAGAACATCAAATGCAAGTAGATAAATAGGTGCCACTCCAGCGGGAAGGTAAACGGCGTTTCTCTGTGCTGCTCTGGTTCACCAGAAGCGGCTTAGTCATGCTGGCCACATGACCCGGAAACTGTACACTGGCTCCCTTGGCCAGTAAAGCGAGATGAGCGCCGCAACCCCAAAGTCGGGCACGACTGGACCTAATGGTCAGGGGTCCCTTTACCTTTACCAGAGAAGAATGGCAGATCAAGTTGATGGATTACGCCAAAATGGCTAAAATGACCGGAAGAATCAGAAATCAGGAAGACCAAAATTTTAATAAGGAATGGGGGAAATTTGTAACTTATCTTAAAAACCATTGTAAACAGTTAAAATTGTTAGTGGGATTGGAATAACACTTGTTGCTTAATGGTGAATTTTCGACACAACGGAGAGGTAAAAAGATTTGGATTATTATAAAAGATGCAGAAGGAAATGATTAGCAATAGGACCCAGAAAAGGGAGGAGGGAAGTCCAGGAGGTTCTTTGGAATCTGGGTTCTATGTTGTATGTTGGCTATGTGACTGCAAAATTTTATTCTGAAAAACCATATATACAAGCAAATGCAGACGGGCTGGCCAGGGAGGGTTTGCAAATCCACTGCAACCAGAATAAGAAAACAAGCAATGAAAGCTGTATTGGGAAATAGGAAAAGAGAAGGGCCATATATCTCAGTGGCAGAGCAGCTGCTTGCATGGAAGGAGTCCCAGGTTTAAACCCCAGACAGGGCTGGAATTTGCCCCCTGCCTGAAACCATGGAGAGTCACAGCCAGTCAATGCAAATAATTTTGAGCTAGATGGGCCAGTGGTCTGACACAGCAGAGGACATCTTCCTGTGTTTCTATGAAAGATCAAGCGCAGCTTTCATTTGTGGGGTAAACAAGCATCAGAACCACGATGGCAGACAGCTCATCCCTCAATCTCCTCTCGTTCTCTCTTCGTTTGTTGTTGATGTCAGAGGTTTGAGTCCATGGATCCCTTGACCAACTATGTTCTTCCTGTGGGGCTCAGGAGCCCAGTTAGATCACCCCTCGCCTGCAGAGCTGGCAGCCTCTCACCCTTTTTCAAACACTCCCTTGTGGGGTGTTCCCTCAGTCTCCTCTCCTTGAGAGTCCTGCAGGCAGCTGCTGCTGCTGCCGCCGCCCCTGGTCTCTGAGCTGCCCCACCCTACCCCAAAGAAAGGTGCCTCCTTATAGTGCTCCACAGAGGCCTGGAACCTGTCTGTCCATTCCCAACAGCAAGGGCTGGCGGACTAACTGGCTGGGCTCCCTCGCCCGCTTGCTTGCTTACTCCGAGGCCAACTCAGCTCCTGGCAACCAGCGGCGTAGCTAGCTGCTTGGGTGCCTGGTGGGGCGCACATGTCCTGCAGCCAGGGGCGGAGCAAGCCGCCCAAGGGGCAGGGCAAACTGCCCACAGCAGCGGGGTGAGCCAAGGCAGGGTGCACTGCTTGGACTGGCCAGCACCCCTGACCAGCCACAAAGGCAATATTCGCCTGCTGAGATTGTAGCCAGGGCTGCTGCAACAAACAGCTGTGCAAGCCTTTAGAGGCAGAGACACGAGAGGGCATCAGAAGAGGGAGGGAAGGAAAGAGGGGCAGAGGCCAGGGTTGCCCACAGCATCCCTGACCATCATTCAAGGCACACTGGTTGAAAACCACTAGTTTATGTATTTAGTTTTGCTTAGAATCGGTTTATCCAATTATTTGTTGCTTTATTGAAATCGTTTTTATAGGGCAAGAAACTACAACAGGGTTTCCCTAACCATGGTCCATGAACTTCATTCAGATGGTCTGCAAATTATCGTGGGATTTGCGGTTGAAGATGGGAGACGGCACTTCTGTTGCATTTAATATTCATAATGATCTTTAACCACATTTCATTGCTTCTTTTATCATAGATTTTTTATTGTACAACAATTTGCATTCCATTTATCAGACAGCATCTAGCACAGCACTTTGGAATAGCTACAACAAGCAGAAAAATCATTCAGTGGTCTGCCAAGAACCTCAGTGCTCGGGCTGAGGGGAGTTGAGGAACCCCTGCTCTAGGAAATTGGGTTGAGAGGAGAGAAACAAATAGACACAGAGATTCTTGGTGACATCACAGGTGCTGGCCAATCAGCACTATACGCAGCTACCATTAAGCTTGACACAAGATAGGAACAGTATGTTTGGGGTGAGTGCAGTGCATATTGTTCATATTAAATTTGAGACACACCCTTGGCTTGACACTCTGCAAGAATTTTGCAAACCTGGCTGTGATTTTAGCCTCTTGAGTCATTTTCAAAACTGAAAGTTGGAGAGCTAGAAAATTCCCCAGGCATGCTCTGTTTAGGTATTGCATTTATATTCCATACTTGCAGGGTTCAAATAAAAACAAAATCCTTCTCAAGCTGCCAGGCAGCCTCCCTTCCTGCCCCCATTGACTGCTACACATGGGCTTGACTGAGGTGTAGCCCTGGCTGCCATAGAGGTGGATTGGGGCCTTCTTAAAGGGGCGTTCGTGCAAGGCAATCCCTTGCAGATCTTCTCAAGGGTCCCCTCCCAGCCCTACCAGGCAATGCTGGGAATTGAACCTGGTACCTTCTGCATGCAAAGCAGCTGTCCTACCACTGATCAAGAGCCCTTCCCCTTTCATTAGGGGCTTTGCATAAATGGTGGCTTTCGAGGGGGGGCTTGAAGAAAGATCGCAGGCCAGCATTGGCCTGTTCCCATTCCTTAGCGCATCTAACTTTCTCCGTTTTGCTTCCAGACCTTCCAAAGGCCCAGATGAAGGAGCCCAGATGAGTAACGCCATGTGCAATTCCACGGCCATGCCGTACCAAGACAGCCAGCATCTTCTGGTTGCGGTATACAGCACCGTCTTTATCATAGGCATCCCAACCAACTGCTTAACTGCCTTCTTGACGCTCGTTCAGATTCGCAAGGGAACCATCGCTGCCATCTACCTCTTCGGCCTCTCCCTTTGCGAACTGATGTACCTGTGCACCCTCCCTCTTTGGATCCTGTACGTGCAAAACGGCCGCGATTGGAAGCTGGGGGACCTATCTTGCCAGGTGACAGGATACATCTTTTTCTGCAACATCTACATTAGCATTCTATTACTGTGTTGCATCTCCATCGACCGCTACGTGGCGGTCGTGTACGCGCTGGAAAGTAGAGGGATACGGCGCCAGAGGATGGCTGCGATAGTAACCACCTCCCTCTTTGTCACGGTTGCTGTGATCTATTGCCCCATTTTTTTCCAGGAAGAAATACATCAAAAGAAAAGCAGGATCTGCTTTGAAACGCCGCTCAACCGCCGTATAGCCTCTTACAACGTGGCACGGTTCTTTGTGGGCTTCCTCATTCCATTCACTCTGCTCCTTTTCATGAACTACCGGATCTTCCAAAGTATCAAGAGGAGCTGCAGCCTCAGCCCACCCCAGAAAACGAAAGTGAAGCGCCTGGCAATTGCCATCATTGCCATATTCCTGGTCTGCTTCGCCCCTTACCATGTGGTGCTCCTCATCAGGTCCGGAGTCTACTTTCTCCACCCAGCGGAGAGCTGCAGTTTCGAGAGAGGCATCTACACAATCTCTGTAGTGTTCCTCTGCTTCTCCACTGCCAACAGTGTGGCCGACCCCTTCATCTACGTGCTGGCTAGCGAGAACGCCAGGCATGAAATTTGCCGGGCTTTCGCGGCGTGCGGGATTCAGCTGTCCAGCGGCTCCAAGACGGACAGCAGCAAGGCTGACGATTCCCAAAGGCCGACGAAGGAGACAGGAAATAAAGAGGACAGGTAGCACCACCTCCTCTGCAGGACTTGTGTGTTAAAAAGCAAGTGGGTGGGAGGCAACGCCTTCATCTTCCCCTTGTGTCACTTGGGCTGAGTCACAACTTGCCCACTTTGGGGGATAAGCACTGCCCAGTGCACAGTGCGGTCTCGTTTGCATTGTGCGCGATGAATAGCCCTTTCAGCAAATCCTGGCTGTTTTGCATATCAGGATGATGTCATGATGTCGTAACTTGCAGCTGAATCTGGGGAATGCTTGTTGATGCACCAGTGAAGGACCCCACAACACTGGGAGACCCTGCTGGTGAGGAAGCTGGCATCGCTTGTGCATGGTTTTTTATTTATTGTCCCCTGTACCAAGAGGAAAGGGTTGGATTACAGCAGTTCAAGAGAATTCTAAATGCAGAGAGGAAACTATTGCATTACCTCTTTGGGATATCCCTTTTTTTTGTGCGATATTGGACCTTGTACAAAAACTCACAAGTTTGTATCTTGAATAAACGACCCACTTCATCACTGCATGGTCCACGTCTAATGTTCACAACAAACGCTGCACGGAAAGCATGTGGCTCTCTCTCTCTGCATGTGGGGGTTAATTGGGGGGGCAGTCACACTAGAGCAGGCATGGCCAAACGTGGCCCTCCAGCTGTTTTAGGAGTACAATTCCCATCATCCCTGACCACTGGTCCTGTTAGCTAGGGGTGATGGGAGTTGTAGTCCCAAAACAGCCGGAGGGCCAAGTTTGGCCACCACTGCACTAGAGCAACTGTTTCACACAGTTGTTGGTGGTGTCGGAGCCAGCTGTTACAAATGGCGAAGTTTAGCATAAAATAAAGACACAGAGAGCCAGCAATATTTTCATGATGGTAGGAGCAGCTCCTTTCGAACTTCCCTCTCCTCCTCCTGCAGCTTCTTTTATTATCCTTTGTCTCTCTCTCTCCAGCCGCATGGCTGTTTGCCAATGTCTCACATTACCTCATCCGGTCAAGGCTTTTATTGCCCCCTTCACCATATGGGGTCAATCACTGCCCAGAGGAAACACAACTGCATTTAAGTCAATACATTCCAATACATTGTAAAGCTCAGAGTGCTGGTCAGCCGAGGTCAGGGGGCACCCTGGAATATTACAAGCCTTTACCGTGGCTTTATGACTCCCACATGCCCTCTTTCTTTATTTTATATCAAAGTCAATACGCGATAAGCGACTCTTTGACACCGGAAGCGGGTCGCGGACTGGAGAACCATGCAGTACATATAGAAATTAAAGAACGAATACATTGGATACAGCAACACAAAATAATGCAAATAACTACTATAATGATCACTAAAATCAATAAATGTCGAAGTCAACTTCCATCCGGAAGCCAAGAATATAAGAATTCTGATTCCAAGCTGCATGGTAGGCTTCCTGTAAGAGAACAAGAGCTATTAAAAGTGAAATTCAATGTATATTTGCAGTTTGGATATATGCCCCATGATTCTTTCCCCTCCTTAATTTGAAAATAAATGGGGGCAGGCTCATGGAGGGTCACTTGTACTGGAGGCCAAAAAGTTTGCTTAGGGGATATAATATTAGTAAATTGAAAAGATCCATTGACAGGCACACCATGAAGCATTATGCCTGAATGACTGGCATACACACCCAACATTTAGAAGCATGCAATAAACTGGCAAACATAATCATATCTTGTACAAAAATATTATCCCTCCATATCTTATGATAATTTTCTCCCTAAAAGTCTTATTCAACAATGCTGTTCTTCTAGTTCGAAAGTGGCTGAGCTGTGGATACTGCCAGCCAGAGTAGGATTCTGGCGACAGCTGCTTGCCAGCCGATGAGGTGAAATATGGTGGTTTCAACTGGACTGGGTCGTCTGCTGGATCCTTGTATAATGGTGCAGCAAAGGATGGCAAGGCAAATGGTTAGGAAGGCAAACACTGCCAGATGCAGCTCATGTGCAGCACCTCTAGGTGGCGCATGCGGAAAGGTTTCAATGCTTCACCAACAAAATGCTGACAAAGTGTAGGGGAGTTCCGCATGCCTTGAGGCAGGACAACCCACTGATATCGCTGGGTGGGCTGCGAATTGTTATATGCTGGCAATGTAAAAGCAAACCGTTCCCTGTCTGCTGGAGCCAGTGGGATGAAGATGGTTCAATGTGGCCGAAAGTCAATTGTTCAGAAATAAGCTGGTCAGAGATAGCTGGTGCCGCTGCTGCGGATTTTTCTTTTGGTAGAGGCCACTGTTCTACCCCCACTGGGGTATCGGTGATCCTGGTTTTCCACACTGGAAACAAGTTGTATCGGTGGCTACAGGCTGGTTTTCATTTAGCGCTGCTGCCAGCAGATAAGCCTTGTGGGTGGCTGTACGTACAGACTGACAAATGCGAAGCATGGCTGCTGTGTCTGTGGCAGGATTGTGTATTATCGGTCGCAATGCAAGTTTACAATCCTCATTGGCATTTTCAAAGGCCAATTGTTTGATGATTATTTGTTTGGCTTCAGGATTTTCAATTTGGCGACTCACTGCTGTAAGCAGCCTGTCCATAAAGGAAGAATATGATTCTCTTGCCTCTTGCCTGATTGAACCCCACCTTGACTGAATACTGGTGGGTTCTGGGATTTTTCTCATTGCTTGTTTAGCAGCAAGAGCAGTGTCCCTCAATAAGATTTGCAGCAGTGTGGCTTGCACTGAAGCTTGAGCGAAGGGACCACGCCCCAACATGGCATCTGTGACGTCTGCAAGGGTAACATTTGGATTATTTCCTCTGACTTGTTGTAACAAGGCTGGAGCATAAGCACGGCAGGCAGTTTCCCATTCGTGGGCAAACAAAACACCAGCTGATGGGGGCAACACAGTATGGGCCAAAAGCTTGATGTCCTCTGGAACCAATAGCTGGGCTAATGTGGCTTCTAAAAGCGCCTGCGTATATGGGGCTTGGAGTCCATTGGCCTTTACTGACTGTTGCAGCTCTTTCAAAATCTTAAAGTCAAAAGGTTGGTGTTGGGCTTGGGTGCCTGCCGGGGCACCAGCAGGGGGCACAATAACAGGGAATGCCATAGTATCCTGAATTAAGGAACAGGCAAGGACTGCACGTTGAAAAGGTTCTGGTTCTGCCGCTGAAAGATTAGGATCATTGCCAGCCAGACCACGGTATTTTTGCAGGATTGGGTCCTCAGGTGAGGAACTGTAGTCCGGAGGTTTGGGGTCTGGAGCTGCTGGCAAAGCAAGTATTGGAACAGACTCTAACACAGCAGGCTGAATTAAAGAAGCTGGAGGTAGTGTTGGCAATGCAGCCATGGATATATTTTTTGGTGATAAAGAGTCCATGGTGTAACGAACCTTGCACCATGCATTTAAAATCCGAACACCTATGCTGGGGTGCCCATGAAAATGTGCCCCAATCTTGTCCCAAAGTTTTAATTCCCAAGTCCCATCTGCAGGAAACCAGGGGGAATGCTCTTCGATGGCCAGAATGAGCTGTATTAAATCACCCTCCAGAACTTCCAATTTGTTGGAGGAGAGGAGAAATTTTAAGTCTTTTAAAAATTTCTGTTGGGGAGCAGACAAAGAGCTGCCCATTTTTCTAAAATCAATATAAAAAAAGAAAAGGGATCGAACTCACCGGGATCTTTTTAAGATGATTAGCGCTTGAAGCCCTTGCCGGGCATGGTAAGCCGATGATATCCTTTGCTAGGATCGAAAAACCTCACACGGTCTCCTTTTAAAATCTTCTTAGTCTGCCTCAGACTGTTTCCTTTAAGTTGCCTCACACGTATTTCTTTTAAAATCCTCAGACGTATTCTTTTATTCTGCCTCACACGGGGCACCACTTGTCGGAGCCGGCCGTTACAAATGGCGAAGTTTAGCATAAAATAAAGACACAGAGAGCCAGCAATATTTTCATGATGGTAGGAGCAGCTCCTTTCGAACTTCCCTCTCCTCCTCCTGCAGCTTCTTTTATTATCCTTTGTCTCTCTCCAGCCGCATGGCTGTTTGCCAATGTCTCACGTTACCTCATCCGGTCAAGGCTTTTATTGCCCCCTTCACCATATAGGGTCAATCACTGCCCAGAGGAAACACAACTGCATTTAAGTCAATACATTCCAATACATTGTAAAGCTCAGAGTGCTGGTCAGCCAAGGTCAGGGGGCACCCTGCAATATTACAAGCCTTTACCGTGGCTTTATGACTCCCACATTGATGGTGTCGTCATTTAAGATGTTCGTGTCTGCATGGCAAGATCCTTGTTCTGGCTCCCAGTTGCCAAAGAACAAGGAGGATTCTTTCCAAAGACTTTAATGTTTAGATTGCTGCAGTTACATATGCAGATAGCAGGTATCAGGCAATACATATAATCAATCCTAAACACAGCTGCTCTACCTGCCAAAGCGTTGATTTGACACTGTTACCCCTCTTTGCTATCCTATATACAGGAATAGGGCAGGCAAACTTAGATATATAAATAAGTTTGTAGAGAGAGGCTCTGTAGAGCCTATCGCCTTCCCTCCCTCCCGCCTCATGGCTTTCAAAATTAACCTTTATATCATTGCATTTTGTACATTTTCCAGTTCTAATTATACTCATTACAAAATGGCTCAAAATTTCTCATTACAAGTCTTTACACAACCCTGCTAGTGATGTTAATTGCTTACAATAATCTTTCAGATATCATATAAATTTACTCCAGTCCTTTTGGAATACTTAATCATGCTGGTTTCGGATTTTTCCTGTCAGCTTCGCCAGTTCTGCAAAGTCCATCATCTTCATCTGCCACTCTTCTTTCGTTGGTACTTCTTGTTTGCATTTTTGGGCTAAAAGAATTCTTGTTGCAGTTGTTGCATACATAAGCAGTCTTTTATTTTCCCTTGGAATCTCTTCACCCACTATACACAGTAAAAAGGCTTCTGGTTTTTTAACAAAAGTATTTTTAAACATTTTCTTTAACTCATTATAAAGCATTTCCCAGAAAGCCTTTACCTCTTTGCAAGTCCACCACATGTGGTAGAAGATACCTTCCTTTTCTTTACATTTCCAACACTCATTAGTTCTTGTCTTGTACATTTTAGCCAGTTTGTTGTTGTTTAGTTGTTTAGTCGTGTCAGACTCTTCGTGACCCCATGGACCAGAGCACGCCAGGCACTCCTGTCTTCCACTGTCCAACCATCTCGTCCTCTGTCGTCCTCTGTCGTCCCCTTCTCCTTGTGCCCTCAAACTTTCCCAACATCAGGGTCTTTTCCAGGGAGTCTTCTCTTCTCATGAAGTGGCCAAAGTATTGGAGCCTCAGCTTCAGGATCTGTCAGGGCTGATTTCCTCCAGAATGGATAGGTTTGATCTTCTTGCAGTCCATAGGACTCTCAAGAGTCTCCTCCAGCACCATAATTCAAAAGCATCAATTCTTCGGCGATCAGCCTTCTTTATGGTCCAGCTCTCACTTCCATACATCACTACTGGGAAAACCATGGCTTTAACTATACGGACCTTTGTTGGCAAGGTGATGTCTCTGCAGTTTAGCT